TACCGAGCTGAGGTAATGTCCGGCTAGTATGCATTTAAATGAGTGCATTATCCGTGCATTATCCGGCGTTAAGATCATTTTGACCTACCCCTATATGTAACTGATTCATGAGTCTTCAAGTTGTTATACAAATATTGATATTTGCGACATTGATCGTCTCGAGTCTCCTGTGCTCGGTCCTTGACTCCGCAATTTTTAACATCTTTCTTTCTTTACGACGATTTCACGAAATTCTAGTCAAACACTGTGTTACCAGAAATTTTCAAAGGGATGTTTTCATTTTAAGACGTCATTTTTAGGCGATTTTTATTATATCACTTAAATAATTCAGATAATTCACTTAAATGATTCGAAACCACCGAAAAATGGCACAAGGTCGTTAATAATCATGGAAATTATTTCGATGATTGATTTGTTTTAATATATAACTTTTATTCACTTATCCTGATTTTTCGAGATAGCATAGTGTTTAATTGTGCACCGTAAAATGTGTCATCAATCAACTATCATTCCTTTCGGTTTTCATCGCCTGGTATAGCTTCGTATTGCTATTTATAAATTTTCAGCAACATTCACTATACCTGTCAGACTACGATATTCAATATCCAATTATGCACATTGCTCATCGTTGTTATCGATAGATATCCGATGGTTAAATATGTATAATTATGTTGCTTGTCTGAATCACATTGCTATATTTCTCAAAGAGTTATTGTTCAATAAATCTTGTCTGAATTGGTTTAATAAACTGTTACATTCAATTAGATTTATATTCTACATACGAATAAAAATTTGCATTCAGCCCTTCGTTTAAAAAATACATTCAACGTATTACTCTGATTTTTCAATTATTCCTTCATTTCTCAAACATAATTAAATAAACCAAATAATTCTTCCGGACCAGCATTATTCCTAGCCAGAAAGAAGTGTCACACGTTTGCGTGCTCGTCGATTTGTACAGTCTCTCTGTCGTATACATTTCCGATGTAAACTGTTGCAAGGCTACTCATTAGCATTCTCCCCGCGTTGTTTTCTTCTTGTTTTGTCGCGTTGTGTCCGATCAAGAAATTAATTATCCGAGGTCGCTCCCTTACTCCTGAAACCATTCATCCTTTTCGTTGTGAAGTGCCTTCATCCTCTGCCGGTGTTCTCCGCTAGCTTTCGTCCAATATACCCACCGTCTTTTCCTCTTCGTCTAATATCGGCCAAGCGTATGCTTCGAAAGCCAATATTAAGCTCCGTCTAAGATCGAGTATGTAGTTTCTTCATGTGCGTCAGGCGAAACACTGGGGAGATAATTAGACGATGGTAATGACTTTCTTTGGATTCATGTTCAGTCGCCTGCGATGTTTATTTTCCTAGTTTAGGCTCGTTTTTGAAGATTTTCTGAGTTTCCGACAAGTCGTGGAAATTCGCTTTTTGAAAAATTTAGCGAGTTAGATATTCGTGCATGATGCGTGTGATACTCTTCGCGTGTTGGCTAGTCGAAGATTTTTTGCCGGAGAGAGATCAAATCTTGTTAATGAGTAGAATAGTGTGTTATTATTACTTTGAATAAATAATACTATAGAGCGATACAAAAATAAAACTGGAAAAGCTTGAACAGCGATTTTTTTACGAATAAAATGACAATCGTGAACGATCGATCATTATTATCAAAATTTGTAATTTCATTATGACTGTCGTTCATATTGAATTAATTACGATTTACAATCAATTGAAGCGGATATCGGTGACTGTTACATGTACTCGCCTATATTTTTCTCTGTTTAACAAACACTGCGTGCGACCCACGTTTTGAAAAATTCGGTAAGACGCTAATTGGATCGTGTCTGTCGCGAATTAATCGAGAAAATATCGTGTCGATTTTTCAGCAGAAAACTTTCAGCGTTGTCATTAATCACCGTGGAGCGACGTAGTTTAGCTTCGTCGCTTTGCACTTTCGTGACCTGGCCACGACACACCCTAGGATACTTTTATTATTTCAGCTCAGTCCCCAGGGGGTCTTCATATCGTTACAATTCATTAGGAAACACGCTAGCCGTACAACATTGTTCTATGTTTTCCTCGAAATACATTAACTCTGTTCTCTATTTTCTATGAATCAGTGATCCAGCCGAAAATATGTTGACCACGATTATTGACCTAACCAAAAATCACTCTGCAATCTCGAATAGTCGATTACTGTCGCTGAAAAGCAAAACTTTGAGTGATTCTGAGTGTCTTGTATGTATTTTTCTTGAGAGTTTTATTCAGAAAGCAATAATAAGACACTTCAGCCAAGTGGAAATGTCCAGAGTAATCATATTATTGCAAGAGAGATATTCGCGATTCTGAGTTGCAAGCGAGTTAGCTGTATCCCAATCTGTGATTCCCTGAAAACGATATTTGAGTAGTAGGTCGATAGTCGAGAAGATAGAGTCAGGGTCGCTGAAGTAATACGACATCGCGACAAGATCGATATTTATTGAGAAATCGTGCTCTCCGAAATTGCACGGTTCAGGACCTACAGAGTGGCCTGCAAAGTGTTGAGGCAATCGAAGTATCGGATCAGGTTGTTCTCAATTGAGTTGAAGAAGGTGGTTTAAGATCTTGATGCAACTAGCAAGGTGTCCAAATCTGACTGTGCTGCACTATGGAGTTTCACTGCAATTTGCCGAAGAATCTGATAACTAGACTGCGGATTTTGATGCATTTATAGGAAATTTGGAGGTGCAAAATTGCATAGAACGCACGTAATATGAAAAAATATACAAAATATCTAAATTATAGTGCTTTCTATAGTACCTGGAAGGTGAAATAATTTTCTACTGAAGTTTTATAATACTTTTCTTACTATATTCTTAAAAATATGAATTTGCATAAAAATCCGCAGTCTACTGATAACATTTTTGGGATGAATTTTGCTTTCGCCTATCGAATGATATTTACGGATACCTGTGGATATTTATTTATGAAATAAGAATGATCTGGTAGTAGTATTGAGGTTAGATCTAGCAGCGTTGAAATTCATCGAAATTTAACATTGTTTTATATTACACGGAATATAAATTCGAAGAATTCCTTTCTGCATAGAAGTTTTCATGGAAAATTGCACATTAAATGCCTTGCATATTTATTTTATGCGTTACTTCGCGTTAACGCTGGTATTAATACTCACCGTTGTAGTCAACGTTCGCTAAATTTCCTATATATTTTTCTTTTACAATCGATTTGTGGAGAATTTCTTCAGATATTGCGTGGAAAATTGTGTTTTTTTTTTTCTAGATGGCACGCGACAAATTGTTCTCAGAACCTGGAACGATCATATTTCCGCGTTATTCCGTCGGTTGACTGTTATTTAAATTTTCGTTCACGGCTAGTTTGTCGCAGACTTGTTTCAGACGAAATAACTTGGGCGATATTTCAGCCGATAAGTGAGATTTAACGTTCAACGCCTGCGAAACAATAAAAACGACCGGCGGAACGTACCGAATGTATTGTTTTAACGGTATAATGGTCCACGGATCAGTATTAAATTTACATGGGCCGAGACTCGCAGACCATGCCACGAACTCTTAATTGTGCGGAAACTATTCGATTAATAGGACGAGCCTGGAGGTTTGATAGCAGCCCATTTCGAGTATCGATTTCTCTACGAGTGTGTTTTCCTATTTTTAAAAGCTCCAACGTCTCACTTTGTGCTGTCGAAAATTAATAATCTCTGATGTTAAGTTGCTCAACCTAGAAAAATTGTATCGAGTCATGTTGAATCCTGAGGAAAAAGGAAACATTCGTTCTGCCTCGTTTCTTGGTTTCTTGAAATCTTTCCTTTCGATTAAAGTTTCAAATACATTCGTTTGAATAAAAAGGAAGGCACACGTCTTCTTCCACTAATAAGAGAAGATCCCAAAGTGATAATCACTGATTTTTATGAAAATTTGTTATATAGTAGTTCTCAAAAAAAAAAGAAATAAATTACGTATTTTCAGTGAAGGGGTGAAAATCGCCCTCAAAATTGGAGATAGTAAATATATGTAGTCCAATATCTCGAAAACTGTTAGAGATAGAGGAATAGTGTAACTTCGTGAATTTTATATTTTTTAACAGTAAATATGAAAAATAAAAAAGAAGGTTTAAAATCAGCTTTGTATCTTTGCAAATAACAAAATAATTAAGAGTGGCAAAATTAGCTGAGTGATCCTTATTTTTTTGCATAAGAGTGTACAAGACCAAGAATGATAAAAGTTATTTTACACTTGTTTCAAGGCAGATGATTACGCGACAGTCTAATTCTATTCACAATTTTCGCTGTACAATAGTGAATGCACGCGTCTGAGGCTGCATGGATGCATCGCCTCTAAATGTACCTGCACGTGTATGCAAGATGCATAGTGCACGTTCTTCTGTATGTACATAATATCAGACGTGTGTGCAGGGCTCATAATATGTTTCCACACATGACATGTTTATACTGGCGTATCTCGTAAGAAAGCGCGCAAATTGGCGCGCAAATTTCACGAAAAAAAACGCTCTCTCGTTTATTTAGAAATTTCATGGTACACGAGCGTGCAAACTATGCGGTCCAATATGTTGTTCATCACGTCTATTGACCGTACGAATTTTGTCAGTTTTAGGAAAAAATAGAACAGAAGCTGCAGTACTTGCTTCACAAACATTCATTTTTCTGAGGTTTATTGAGATGTCTAGAAGTTCCTTTGTCAAAATTTCCTACATTGTCTAAAACTGTCTAAACTGTCAGGCTCATTGTCATTATTTTACTCAATTTATTGCTTAAAGGAAAAATGTTCCTTAGAATAATTCATCTAAATAAGCGATCAGGTCCAAGAGATACTTCGACAATGGTCAGAAAGTTTCGCTGATAGGAAAAAGTACTTATCTTCGACAAGTTTTCTCTCAAACTTCGTTCTATGTTTTTCTGTACAATTTTGAAAACAGTTCAGACTAATTGGCAGCTATTTTAAGCGATTTACTCAACAACGAACTGTTTGTTTGCGTAGGTATGGAGGCAATTATGTCCGAGTTTTTCAACGACACCACGACTGCCTTTTACATCATTCTGATGGTCTGGATTGCTGATCAGTACGATGCTATTTGTTGTCATACACCGGTTACGAAGAGGCACTGGCTACGGTGAGTACTGAATTTTCTATATTTTAATTCGACAGTTACAGTTTCTCGACGAGATAGTATGAAAGTCTTTTCCATACGAAAAGTATGAAAAATTATTTCACGATTAAATATCACCTGAATCGTGGTAAAGAACAAGGGAGCGCTGTTTAACGATCTTATTTATCTTATTCGCGAGAAAGACACCGCCTACTGTAATAAGTTCATTCGTAGAAATCTTAGAGGTCGTTAGTTCCATGCTTTTTAGATTAGGATCGGGATAATCGAAGGAGGATTTAATTAAAAAGGATTAAGCTGTATTAAGTAGCGAGTCAGTTGTAGTCCTGGGCACACTAGTACCCCTTCCCTTAGTCTTTTCTCTTTATTCTGGTCCGTGCACCTCCAGCTAAAACTGAAACGATCAAAGTATCTACTCTACCTCCGAGTAGCCTTTGTTGGATGACGATAAAATGCCTTGCTTGTCTCTCGTCGCAGCAACTTTACGAAAGGACCAACAGAAGTTTAATATGCAACCCCTTCAAATTAAAAAAGAACAAACCGTGGATGCTTTTGCACGAAAGCTAGGATAGTAACGGAAGTTCGACAAAGCCCTCTGGCAAAGACGCGTGACTTTTTTTAAATAATTTACGTTTCTCTTGAAAATGTTTACTCGGATTAAGACGGGTGTTTCTGTCTAGACGAACAGTTTTCAAGTCGGTATAAAATTGATAATTGAGAAATGTGCAAATTCACTGTGTTTGCTGTTTTGTATCTAGGGGAGAGTCACGAATTAACACTTTATGTGAATAAACAGATTTTGTGTAATATATTTCGGGGCTGAATTGTTTATTCCGTTCTTCTCGGTGTCTGACGCGTTAATGAACGTGTACTTTGATGTTTAGTGTGTTGAAAGTTTGTTTATAGAGGTGATCTTTTGTTTTTCAGGTAAGTAAATGATTTGGTTCTATTACGTATACTATATCTAGTCTATTAAGTGTAATAAAGGTCTTATTTTTGCAATTCTCTTTGTACTCTTTGTGTCGACTAACCTGTTGGCAACTGAAATTAAGTTAACAGACGTCTTTAGATGACTAGACTTTAATGAAGAAGAAATTTGCAAGAAATCATTTGACGAAGATTGAGTGCACGTCGAATGCAGAGATCAAGAAAACATGAGTTATTGTACTTGAGATATTTGTAAAAATGAAGTTTGAATAAAAATATTCTTTTCTATCATTTAAACGTCTTTTTTTTAAACATTGTCAATTATTTAAATCGAAAAATTTACTAATTAAATAATTAGTCGGTACTGGACGACACTTTTTACTCTTGCGAATTATCAATTCTTATTATTAAATTTCGCAAAATTAATTTCCCTCCTTTTATCGAGTTCCATTTGTACTGCAAAATCTCTTTTAAGTTTTGATTTTTACTCCAGCCTAAGATATAACAAAACAAACTTAAAGCGGTCGACTCTCCCCTACACCTTTTCAAAATTTTAATAATCTAGCGAAGTTCGTCGCAAAATTTAAACAACAAATTTGGAACATTTCTAATTTTCGATAAATTCGATATCACCGCTTTCGATCGTTAATAGTTCCAAACACCTTCGAAAATGTGTTCCCTTTTTACATTCGCTCGAACGAGAAATCACATATTCCGCGTATCAGTCGCACGATGTTTCTTTGACAATGCCATAAATACCGACGTTTGTATCCTAATTAAGCAATTACGCCGGAGTTCGTCTTCATTAATGGACGTGAAGCGGAATGGAGGACGAGTACGTAGCTTCTGTAATTATTGGTGTTTATTGATTGTCACGGAATGCGTAGATCACGAGTGCGGTATGTTCAGAGAAATCTTAATTAAACACTGTGGTCTATGGTGTAATAAGCTTACGGTGTATATATCGCTTGTTTGCGAACGTTTCCCACGGTCCATTGATTCATTCTGGGTACGTGGTCGATTGTCCAGGACTCGATCAGTCCTTTCCGTGCTACTTCGATTGTTGGCTTCGTTGCCATAAATACTTCCGATTAGCCTAGATTTGACAAATTTCCACGATCAGGCTGCTCCGACAGCGGGCTCTGTGTGTACAGATGTCAAAGCGGGATCAGGATGAAAGCCCTGGCGTAATGGGAATCGAGTTTTACGCTCGATGTGCCCCACCACAGAGTGAAGCGCCAGTGTAATTTCCTTAGACCGACGAAGGTATAGGAGGAGACATTAGGGGCATTAGACGACGATTAAACAAAATTGTCGCCGGTGATGGTCCTACTTGTCGCTCTGAATGTTTCAACAGACTGGTGACGCGCGAATAAACGGCCAACGAAATCGTACAATGACAGGGTAACGTTTGAAACATTTTAAATTCCCGCCAAAAACTGCGACAGTACGATTCGAACAGATTATATGGGACGATTGAAAACGAGAGCAAAGGGGACTCGGAAATGGGGAATAAATGGTCAGTAGAATGAACCTGTAGCTGTAACCACAATTCTGATTTATCTCTATTTTGTACTTTGGTGTGTATTTTACACTCAGAAATTAAAAATTAATGATTATCACTTTGGGATATTTTCTTGTTAATATTGTTACTCCCACCCTTTCAAATTATTTCCTTTTAAATTTCTTATTTATCTATCGATCATCACGCCTCTAATGGATACTAAGTTGAGATCAATTTTTACTCGAGTATTTAACTGGAACACATTTGTCTCAGTGGTTAGAAAAGGGTTGAGTTGTGATCGATATGAGATATCGATACACGTGGATAAGACAGCTCTGAGTTTGTAATTTTTCGAAGATTAATTTGCATTTATTCCACTATTTTTTATAATCGGTGCAATGTTAGGTTGGCGTTGATTCAGTCTTAAGCAGGCGAGGAATGATCTTACTGTTGGATCTATACGGCTTTGCTCTCCTCTGGAACGTAGTCGCAAGGACAGTTAGGTTTCCTCTAGGCAGGTTCCAGGTCAGACACGCAGCATTAGAACAACCGGTGTTAGGCAACAATTAAGCAGATCTGACGCTGATAATACCCCTGTAGTATCGCCTCCAAGTATCTGAATTACGCGTCCCATTGTATTTAATCTGTGTCGTCGCCTGAGGTATTTACACTAGATCGACTTTAATCGCATGAACGAGACGCATTCGACAACCGGTAATCGTTTCCTTTTTCCCTCGTCCACGTTACTTCTTCCTTCAAAACGGAGGAGAACCCGTACGTCGCTTGGCTTTCTTTCCGTGTCGAAGCTGTTTCGTCTAAGCTGAAGCTTGGATCGGTTTTTGTCACGTGAGTAAATGGACTTAATGAACGGTGATGGCCCCTTTTAGAAAGAAATTGGATTTTTAGTAGCGAATGAGCGTTACTTTAAGATTTGCCCCTTTCAGAGTTCGGATTCACTGAAATCTTTACGCTAATTTTGAAGTGAAAGAAATATCAAATTTTGGGAGACTTCGAATATCGAATTTTGGGAAATTTCTCGAGAATTTATAATATCAATTCTGATTAATTTATATTTTTTCTGATAAGTTCAATTTTCTTATCTTGAGTTCAGTCTTACGCTAATTTTTCGTGTTTCGTTTTTCGTTGACGATTAAGCATCGATTTAATTAAAGAAATAATTAAAGAGGAAAGAAATAATACTCTGAAAATTTGTCAAAATAATTGTGCAAAATCAAGTTTTGCGAGGGATTAAACGAGAACAGGGTTTTGTACTGTTCACGAGTATGATTGTCGTGTGAAACAGTATTTCCTCCGGGGACATATTGGATTATGTGTAACAATTGCAGCGTAACGACCGGTATATTCGAAAGAAGGACGAAAATGATCGAAGGCTCTCCCCGTTACATAAAGCGTTTTCTATTCCAAGCCATTTCACACCAGACGTAAGCGTGGTTTAATTTACTGCTTTACGATCTTCGGTTCTTGGGGTTCTGGTTGCCTGACTTTGGGTTACGGTTGGTATGCAACTAACACCGAACACCGTCGACTGACTGTTTCTACGGGTCATCCGGTTTTAATTAGAAACTCGACTTCCGCTTACACGCGGTTTATCCGATACTTCGTGTTCAGTTCCCGTTTCTATTCTCCTATCATTCGTAATCTAAAGCCTGTATCGGTGGACATGAATCGAATCGGAGATGGTTAGCATAGAAAATCAAATCGATACAGCGGAGTTATTTTATATAAATATTTGCAATTCTGATAAATCACAATTTTCTATTCTCAGGTAGATTCAACCTGAGACATTTTTAGGCAAGTTTTGACCTCTTACATTACATTTTGTCTTTATGAAGAAACTGGACTGAATCATATAGTATGGCGAAAATACAATATTGCCATATTCCTCTAAATGTTCCACTTGCAGCAAAATATTCACACTTTGCAAATTTATAGCGAATTTTTAATAATTCTTCGATGTTTCGTGTCTTTGGAATATTTCATATTACACGGCAAAAGGGAGTGCGATTTATTCAAATTTTGCTATCTCAAGAAAGAAATTCATTATCACTGTAGATAGAGATATCGTGTGAAATTTCGTGTTAGCATTGCTTTGAGTATCGTTGTATTATGCGACGTACGAAAATTTTCTTGCCAGTCTATCTGATTCTCTGCGTACGCTTTTGTCACGGATCAGAATGAAACTCTGGAAGCGAAATCGAGACTATGTACAATAACAGCGTTTCGTCCGTTCACATGTGGAAAATCGCACGCGATATAGAAGAATAGATATTGCTAGAAGGCAAAAGCTACTGAAAATTCAAGGATTGCTACGCCTGTGAAGTTATGTATTTCCACATGTTGTTTCTTGCACTTTTTACATACCTGAGACACGGAGACTTTTCATATATACGAACAGGGATCTTCTCTCTCGGTTTCTTTATTCTCGCCATTTTCGCACCTAAAGAATCCTTTTGATCATACATACGGCGGGAATAGAGTCAACGATATTTTACCGACTTTTAAGAAATTTTAACCATTGAAATTGCTTTAGTTCGTAATATTTGCCATCGAGCAG